GCTTGTCCCTCCTGCCCTCTTGCCTCTGCTTTGGTGGGACTGGTTTATAGCTCTTCCTGTTTGGAGTTTTGATTTGATCAACTTAAGCTATATATGGAGGCTACACAGAATGAAACTCACTCCTGTGCTACTGCCAATCATTTTTAGCATATAGAAGGACTGAGGAGAATGTGTTCCTGTAAAAATTATGGTTGGAATGATTTGAATATGCAGGAAGATATTTTGTGCCAGGATTTCAGGCTGTAGGAGGTAGAAAGGAGGAAGAAAATTCTGTAAACTGTGTGTTCGGCCCTCCCGAGGAAACTAGATTTAACTTCAGTTCAAATTTTATGAGCAGATTTATGTACTCAGGAATATTCTCCCATCCCCCTCAACAAAGGAACAGAAATAAAAGACCTAAAGTTATTACTCAGTATCCAAGACATTGGAGTGTTAATGAGGTCTGTGGACAGTCTGGAGAGAACAAAGGAGAAGGGGAAAAAAAGAATTAAAGGTTAGAAAGCTGGACTTCTGAGAAAAGGTTAAAAGCATTGGGATTATTTAACCTGCAAAAGTGAAAGAGGAACAAGGTGATAAATAACCCTCTGTAGATGAATTGTGCTTCTTTTTACCAGTCAATACTTAATGAGTGACTTGTATGCTGAGCATTATACCAAATATTTTAGGGGAATAATAAATAGCTCATAGTTTCAAGGACCTTGAAACCCAATTGAGTAGCTATAACACATGTATACTTCAGAAATGTGTGTATGTTTTCCAAAATGTAGAGAAATATTTAGAGAACTGTCATTTAAGATCAAATTCAACCAACTTGGAAGAACCAATTAGGGAGAAAGGCAGTATGTGAGGGTAGTGGGGTTTGAGACTGGAGTTGCTGGGCATATTTAAGAAATAGAACACTGTCAAATTGTGTCCCACAGGGTATAAATAATATAAGTCAAAAGATGGCTACATGGTCAAAAGAGTGGAAAATTATGAGTTAAACAAATGAAATCATTTTCTTCAGTGTAGGTGATTTGGTGCCTTTAAAATGCTTATGTGCACTGTCAGTCTCCAAAAAGGAACTTATTTGGAGACAGACTCGACTCTCACATTTTGGAATGGCTGGGGGAAAAGGAGACTAGGAAGTATTTTGGGAAATGCCCCCATAGGATTGGTAAGGAGGTTTTATAACTTTCAGACAAAGCATGCATTTCATTGAGAGACTTTAAAGAGAAGACCACTTAAATAGATTGAGGGAGTCTCACAAAAAGAAATTCTTTCAAAATTGATTTCAATGGGGAAGAAGCCGGTGAAGAAATGAAGTGACTGAAAAAAGCAAGCTGCTAAGCAGCAAATTTAAAACAGATGGAAGACAAGTACTCAACAATGAAAGGGTATCTAGGAATGATATGGATGTATATAAATAGTGTCAGGGATTGGCTGACTGCTGGGAAAAAAAATGCTAAGGACAAAAAACAAAACAAAACACGCACACAAGAAACAACTTTTACAAATGGAAGAGAATGCCAGTGAGGCCTAACCTAGATGATTGTTTGATGAGACTGGCACCATATTCTTCAATGCTGGAGAAAAGGGAGAACTTTTCAACTTATAGTTCAATACCAATTTTTTTTTCTTTTTGGTCAAGAAGAATGATTTTCAGTGTGCAAAGAGAAAAATAAATATTGGCAAGAGGAAATAGATATTTAAATAGAAGGTTGCTCTAAATGAGTTTGTATGCCAACCCAGAAAGATTATACCTCAGGCTACTCAGAGAATTTGCAGATGGAATTTATTTAACCACTGTTGAGATTTAAAATATTGTCGCAAACAGAACCAGAACCAGAAGACAAAAGATGGGCAAATGGAGCACCAAATTCCAGAAAAGGAGAAGAGAGAAAAATATAGTTTGTAGCTTATAAACTGGTGATCTTAGCATTGTTCTTGGAGAGTTTTCTAGATTATGGCATTTTAAGTTTATTTTATTGGTTTAGCAAGACGTGTAGGATCATTGGAAGCTAGTAAGGAATTATTTAGGAAAAAATCATTTCAGATATCTCATTTTCTTTTCATAAAGATTAGCAAGATTGTTAGATCAAGGAAATGTTATAGAAATGGTGTATTTAAGTTCCTTAGAGCATTCTTCGAAGCCCCATGTGATATCTGTTTTTAAATGGGTGGATTTGTAATCAAATGATCACTGTTTGTCTCAGAAGAGGTCTCTGAGGATTTTGTCCTTGGTTTGACCTAATCTACCTTGCTTCAAGTGCTGAGATTACAATGTTGATGGCATGCATCTTTGGCACAGCAATAATAGGAATTGGGGGGAGAGTGAATGTTTAATGACAAATGGAAGCAAGAGATGAAATTTCATTAGGTATAATTAGCGATACATGGTAAACCTTGCAATACGTAGAAACACGATTCCATTCGTTCATGATAGATTCGACAAGACTTACCAGTAACACATACAAAAGTGAAATATGGTTTCTGTTATCTATGAATGCCTAGCACTTAACAGTAAATCATGGCTGCCCCCAAATGCAATTGTAATCTGAAGTTGCATTAATAGGAATCATATCTCTAGATTGATGAAGCTAGTAGTTACTTCTTCCTAGGTACTTGTTAATCCCAAACAAATTGGAGGAATTACAAAGAGATGGGTTTAATCTCAACATAAAAATTTTAAGCAATTGGAGCCATCCCTATATGGGCTGCTTTCAGTGGTATTGAGTTATCACCCTATTGTGAGAATTTTTTAGATGAAGAACTCCTGCTTCCATTTTTGGGGTATTGTAAAGAAAATGTGAGGTTAGGGAGATGCATTGGGTGAATTCTAGGGAAAAAATCGCTTCCAACTTTGAAATTCCATGGTTCCTTGCTTGATGGTATATGAATAACTCACATGGGCGATGAAGGGAGATGTATCAAAGAAGAGCTTGTTCTTGGAGGGAAGCATCAGAGAAGCTATTTCCAGGGAAATTAATCTTGAATGAGTTTTATAGAATGTGACCTGGTAAAATCAGTGCAATGGAAATATGTTTTTTGTTTGTTTGTTTTTTAAAATAACTGGTGGGTTTTCTTGTATGAAGAGAGTAATCTGCCAGTGAAGAATGCCTTTTGTAACTTCACAGACAAGTCCTATATATACCTTATATATTGTGTGTGTGTGCGCGATATCAGGTAGATGATATATAGCATATTTTGATAATATATAGTATATGTATAGTTTATGTATATATAATATAATCTCCTAAGAGAAAAAAAAGTATATATTTCTCAAGAGAAAATAATGTAGGAAGGGAATAATCTCAGAAAAGTAGTTTGTCTTCCCCTCTCCAAGAAAAAGGAGCAGAGGCACTTGTCATCTACATAAGATCCTTTGATGGAAAGTCTGGGGAACTTAAGACTTGCATTAGTGAGCTTTCTCTAGATTGTGCTGTATAACAAACAACTTCAAAATCTGATTAGCTTACAATGGCAAGTATTAACTTTTCATTCATGTTACATGAAGGCTGCATGTTAGCTGCTGTGGCTCTTTTCTATAGTCTAGATTATCTTCAGGTGTCTCTGATTTATACCCTTGTCAAGGCAGAGAAACCAGAGAGGCAAAGTTGTTCTGATGCTTTTAAGTTTTACTCAAAAGTAGCCTATGTCATACCTATTCATGTTCTGTTGGCCAAAGTTAATCATCTGTCCAAGCTCACATCAATGGGTTGAGAAGTATACTTATGGCAAGAGGAGGGAGGTTGGTGTGTATAGATAATATGTATAGGTAAAAGGAAGGAAAGAGAAATTTGTGAACAGTATACAGTACAATAGAGTCATTTTGAAAGTTCTTTGATGAGAGACAGACTTGATGAACACTAATAATGTCTGCCTGGCCAGTATGGCTCAGCGGTTGAGCATGAACCTATGAACCAAGAGATCATGGTTCAGTTCCCAGTCAGGGCACAGGCCTGTGGTGCAGGCTCGATCCCCAGTAGGAGACATGCAGGAGGCAGCTGATCAATGATTTTCTCTTATTATTGATGTTTCTATCTCTCCCTTTCCCTTCCTCTCTGAAATCAATTGTGTGTGTGTGTGTGATTTTTTTTTTTTTTTAAAGAATGACAGTGTTCTCAGCAATAATATCAATTGAGTCTGGAACATTTGAGAAAACAGGTAGAACTAGTCAGGATAGCTTGTTTCTTCTCATTACTCAGTAACTTCCACCCAACTATCAGAATCCTAGTGACAGAATTTCAGAATAGCTAATCTCATGTTGTTTGTCTGGGTACACTGCATACTACATTCTAAGTAGTTGTTCAAGTCCTATATATCTTCTTCACTTCTAATTGCCTTTTTTTTTTCCTAACCAAAACCACAGATTTTGGTCCTGTAGATTTTGCTAGTGGAAGAGTATTCTGCATTAAAAGCAAACAAAATAATAAAACATGCAACAACATGAATGAATCTTGGAATCATTATGCTGTAGAAGTAAATGCAAAAGACTACCTGCTATATGAGCCCTTTTATATGAAATTCTAGAAAAGGCAAAACTTGTGACAAACAACAACTAACAAACAGATCAGTGGTTGCCTGGGGAAGAGATGAACTACAAATGGGCAGAAGGAAGCTTTTTAGGGTGATAGAAGTGTTCTATGTCCTGATCATGGTAGACTATACATCAAACTACGTACCTAAAATAGGTGGATTTTGTTGAATATAAATTATACTTCAATAAGTTTGGAAGAAATAAAAATGTGCTGGTCAGATAAGTGAGGATAAGCTAGCTTCTTTTTAGAACATCAAAAGAAAAAAAATCAATACATTTTACTATAAATCTTTGAAATTTGTGTGTGTCTGTGTTTTAGGAAGAACTTGAAACAGCTAAGAAGTTTCTGTATTTTGAAATGGGTTATAAATCTCGATCAGAACAGTTAACAGATCACTCTGAAATTACCCTGCTGCCTTCAGACGTTGACAGGTACTTCTAATAAGTTTCTCTCTCTCTTTCTCTCTCTCTTTCTACCTACATAAGTGTATTATTCCATTATTCAACATTGTATTCCAGGTACAAGAAGAGATTTCATAAGTTTGATACAGACCAAAAGGGCTTTATTACCACTGTTGATGTTCAGCGTGTATTAGAGGTAATTTTTTTTTGACTCAATATGTTGGATAGCAAAAGAATGTAAAGATTATATTAGATATTTTTTCCTTATGTAGGTATTTCTATGGGTAATATTTCTCTTTTAATTTTTGAAAAGTTGGTAACATTATTAAAAGGATTTGCATAATTTTTAGTTAATCTTTATTTTGTCATTTAATATAGAGTATCAATATCCAAATGGATGAAAACACACTACATGAAATTCTGAATGAAGTAGATTTGAACAAAAATGGACAAGTTGAACTCGATGAATTTTTGCAGGTGAGTTGTACTGAAAGGAAACACACGTATTTGTTTTTTTATCTTTTGGTTGCCAATGGTTGCTCCAGGATAGAGTTTGATGTCCACACAGTTGTCACTTCATTCTGAAAAAAGAAGAGAGCTTGAAGCCGGCAAAAGTTGATATGTCTGCCTTCAAGGATAAGGCTCTATGTGGTACACATTCTTTTTCCTTTTTATAAGACACATTCTGTTATATTGGGCAATTTAGATAAAATTTAAGTTAATTATGGCCTAAAGAGGGTAAGAAGTATGCTTTTTAAAGAAGTGTGCCATGGAATACCACTGCCAGACTATTCTTTACCTGCTTCAAGGAGCTCTAACACAACCTTTCTAATGTGGAAAGTAATTTTTTAAGGAAAAGTTTTAAAAATGATTGTTGCATTCATTTGAGAATCATATTCACTTGAGATCCTGAAATGTTATTATTATATTCTTACATTATAAAAAACATGAAAAACAAAAGAAAGGGAACATGCATTCTGGGGTCAAGACCATATAATTCAAGCATTTCTATTTTTACTTACTCACGGCTCAATTCTTTAATCGTAACCATGAAGGAAATACATTTTGCTACTTTAACTTCCAATTGGATGCTGCACATCATTCCTTAAAAGAGAGAAATTCCACAAACCCATACATTACTGTGGCTGTCCATAGGACTCTGATAATATGAAGTATGCATTGGTTTCCAAGCAGCCAGGCTTTTTTCTGTAGTGCTTCTTGGGCAGGTATTTCAGATGACTGCCAGGTCTTGCTTGCACCATGGCAATGATGAATGCTGAACATGAAATAAATTAATGCTGGGGATTTTGGTCAATGTCAGCCCTTTCTTCACTGTGTCAAGTTAAACAAACAAGATCAAGGCAAAGGAAATGGTAATTGTCTCTCTGGAGATGAGCTGCAGATAAGAGCATTGTTGAATCTAAATGCAGAAAATTTTCACAGGTTGTGTCCAGCATTACAAAAAAGGATGTTTAGTTCTTTAGCTTACCGGCTAACTAAGTTCACGTTTTGAATTGAGGTTAAAATCTGTGCTTGGCAATTAGAAATCATTTAATACATTTTTGTCTACTTTGTTTTTAGAATATTTTATGGTTTGTCTCAGTATTTTAGAAAACTTCAAAGAAATAGTTTATGTTTCATTTCATGCGTTGTAAATAAGCAATAGTACGTAAGGTTGGCAGCGGTTCTCAACCTGTGGCCGCGACCCCTTTGGGGGTCGAACGACCCTTTCACAGGGGTCGCCTAAGACCATCCGAAAACACACATATAATTACACATTGTTTTTGTGATTAATCACTATGCTTTAATTATGCTCAATTTGTAACAATGAAATTGGGGGTCACCACAACATGAGGAACTGTATTAAAGGGCCTCGGCACTAGGAAGGTTGAGAACCACTGACCTAGGGTTTTAGAAGCAATAAGAATCTAATTTTATGGATATGCTATGCTCTCTGGTTTGAGAGTTGAGTAATTTTTTGAATGCAATAGAGTTAAACACATACAAAGTAATTTAAACCATCTGTGGGTTTTCTTGTACCGTTTTTAATAATTGAGTATTCCTTATTATTTTTGTCCAATTCTTAATGAAAGAGACTATTCATGCCTCTAGTAAGTACAAATACAGAGTCTAATTTTCAACTTAAAAATTGCTGATCATATTTCTCATAAAATATATTCACACCCAAATGTTTTTTTTCTCTCCTTGTAATATGGTTTCAAGATACATATAATGTTTAAAGAAACTTTGAATTTTTAAAGGCTGGTACATCATATAATGTTTATGGATAAATGAAAAGCTCCAGTTCTATCAGATTTGTTAGCTCTGATAAACTTTGAAGGTCTTCATGCACTCAGAGACAAAACAATAGACAATAAATTGTTCTGTATTTAGATGTCAGCATTCTTTATGTTACGTCATTTGTCATATGTAAAGTATGTTGTCAGGGTTTTGTTTTTTTTATACAATTTTTTCCCCCTCGGGATTGAGTCCACGTTTACCTCATTAAACACCCTTGTCAGTATAGATTTGGTTTCTCAATAATCCCCACTGGAAGGATCCCTGCAGGCATCACGTGGTTGCGTGACTTTATTTTTAGGTTTGGGCTCTGATGCCACTTGTGCATGTAGGAGTCAATCTCTAATAGGTAGTAGCTTGTGAAGCAGCTTTTAATAAGGTCAGGCAGTTCTGATCCCGCGCCTTGGCACATGCTCTGACTCTTCTTCAGAGCCATTTAAAGAAATGTGTCTCTGTAAGCTGAAAGCTATCGCCCTACAAAGTATTCCAGTGAATGGCTAACTCAGTGCTCTTTTAAATAAATAAATAAATAAAAGATTGAGGCAGTGATACTAAGAAAAGCAAAGAGTTAAAATCACATAAACTTGAAAAGGGAAAAAAAATATCCCCACGCTCATAATAGCGAAGTGCCTTCAAGATTAAAGGCCTTTGCCCACTGACTGCATGTAATTTCAAGACTAATTCTGATTTTATCCATTGGATAAAAATGAATTAGCTAACATCTGGGCTGCGGAGTGCTTTTAGTTCTTAAGGTAGATCTCTGGGTCCATTTTCAAGTACTCAAATGTAAATTACTTTATCCAGTCTTTAAGAATTTGGATTTAGGGGAATTGGAGTTGTCAAGTACAGTAACATTAAAAAAGAGTAGTTAAATATAGATCATGGTTTGTCTTTGTTCAATCCCTGAGATTCATTTCTAAGATTTTAAAATGGAACTCATGATCCAGTATTTGAGTTGCTCAAAAAAAAAAAAATGTGCCCTGAGCACATTAAAGGACAAAAAAGTGACGTATTGTATTTGCATTTAAAGGCAGGCCAATTTTGCTAGATGGGTGTAGTTTTTACAGCAGTGAAAAAATACCTGCCCGTGCCCCCATTTTTAAAATATTCAAACATTGTCCTCTTTCGATTTGAACTAGAGGACCTGTGATGGCTTTTGATGGAGCACTTAATGACCTCTGCCTACAGCAAAGGTGACCATTCAAACGCCGCCGTGAGGAAGGGAGTGAGCCAGCCTGCCTTCTGAATCTGTTGCCTGTTTTCTCTTTAAGCTGATGAGTGCTATTCAGAAAGGAAGGGTGTCTGGAAGCCGGCTGGCGATCCTACTGAAAACGGCGGAAGAGAACCTGGAAAGAAGGGTTCCCATTCCGGTGGACAGAAGTTGTGGAGGATTGTGAGTGTGAGCAGTGACTCCTCGGCCAACACACATAGGAACAACAAATCATCATGTGACAACAGTTATGAAATACAACACTCCAAAATAGTGGATATGGATAGCTGCTTTTTTTTTTTTTTTTAAACACTGGGAAACATTCCAAAACTTTAGGATGTTGATGTATACCCCCTCTTTGTATTTGCCACTCACTCTCGCTTTTAAAAAGTGTATTTTATCCCTTTTCCTCATTTTCGATGCACCCTGCCTTAATGTTTTGTATCCATTTTGTGACCGATTAGACTGGACATGCTCTCTTTTTGTGTATTTGTTCATTTATTCTAATTCAATTCTAGTGGCAGAATGCTTTGGCTGAAACCGAAAAAAGGAGCTGGAAGAATTTTGTAACATACCCAAAGCTCTGGACGTTAAGCTTGTAGATAGATAGTATTTGTTCTTAAAAGAAATGGAGCTGAGAGTGGCCTATTAAGAGAAGACCTCTCAACCACTCCTTCCTCCAGCTTGTCTGTCTTCCCTCTCCAAACCGTCGCACAATTTTCTATGTAGAGCATGACTGGCAAAGCTAGAGAGGGAAGGAAACATTTAGATCTGGTTACAGGAGCAAGTCTGAAAGAGAAACTCCGAAAGCTTCCAGAATCACAGGTATAAGATAAGGATAGCATTGACATTTCTGGGAGTTACAGTGATAGTTTCATCTCAGCAATTCGTTGTGGTTTTTTTTTCCTCCTTCAGTCACTGCTGGTTTTTCTTTGACTATTAGAGTTGCCAGGAAGATTCTTGCTGTTTTAACTTTAAAACCGGCATTTCAGTGGTAAGTTAGATGTAATGGGATGAGACTGAATTTCTCAAATCTTTACAGGAGTAATTAATACATTTAAGGGTTAAAAACCTGTGTTTATTAAAGATCCACATATGATAGCACAATTTTTAATCCCCAAATCCTAAATGTTAGAGCGTGTGGTATTGTCAGAGCTGACCTGTTTTGCTTGGTTTACTGCATCCTTTTGGGGGAGTATTTGTAAACAGACAGCAATGAGGATAGAAATAACCCTTCAGTAACTTTATAATTATTTGTAAAAAGGCACAACACTCAAGGTCCTTTAGGTTACCTAAAGCCTCTCTCATTCTGTACTCAGTGGAAAAGTTCTTAATCAACCAAAAAGAAACAGAAAAATATAAAACCACACAAACATACACTCACACACATTCCCCCAGCACACATACACACACAGAGAGACACAAAACAAACAAAAATCCAATCTGTATTTCATTTCACCATTTTGTGCTGTTATTTCTATTTATGTCAATATTGTAGCCTATCTTTCTGCCTCATTCGAGTGGGGTATGAGCCTGGATGTTATAGTATAAACACTGGAAATTCACTCACCCATCCTCACTTCTGAAACAGTTAAGGTAGCATCTTCACTCCTTTTGCTTTTAAAGGATGTTTTAGACTTGCCACTTCGAAAGGAAAACCTAAAACAGAGCAAGGGATGCTCCGAGGTACCACTGTGAAGTTTTTCTTTCAAGGTGTGATTTTTTTTATACTGGCTATTTTATTTTTTTAAATAATGGAAGCTTGTGGCTTTGTAATTTAGTATTTTTCTATCAAGATGATACATTTCACTGTTTGGAATCCAGTGACACTTAACAGACAGAAGCGCTGTCCTTGCAACCATTACAGATGATGTACCACAAAACTGTACACTTGTGTTCTCTGTCTTTCTCTTTTTCTAGCTAGAGATGATAAGGATGACTTGTATCCTCCCTGAATCCATTACAGTAGGGACCCAGCTTAAGACCTGACTGGCCTGGGCAAAGCTGTGTTTGTAACACAGGCCTTGTTTGTGCACGCTTTGCTATGAGTGAAGTTCCTTTAAGGACAAAGAAAAGCACACTTTTCTTCTTTTGAGCATATTTGCTTTTGCTTAAAATCTGCTAATTTTAAAACATACGCTCCTTCATCGATCCCAGAGACTCATCTTGGAAACGAGCTGGCTCCAAGTCTTTACTGTGAATAAAGCACCCCCACATTTGGGTGTGTAAGTTCTTAGTTAAACCTGCACAGCTTCTTCACCTGATTTCAGAAACGAAGCAAGAAATAGGGGGATAAGCCCCTGCAAAACCTACTCCGAGTGCAAAAGAATGTTTTGCCCTTTTCCTATAAATGTGATGTAGATGATGCTG